CAATCAGTCAACGCATCATTAAAAGGCAGACCAAGCTTCCAGGTTGGATTTACTTGTCATGCCGTTTGTACCAGGTAACAAAAATCGGGAGTTTCCCTAGAAGAAGAAGAAATACTGAAGCATGCCAGCAGGTGTGACATCATTTAAGGTGGGTGACACTGACAACAGTAAGGATTTGCTTACCTCATTAATTGAAACTTTAAACATAACACAGCAAATTGTAATTTTTTTGCGTTAGATCTATTTTGATCTGGTATCATTCAGAGTATACAGTATTGGCTGGGCGTAATGAATGAAGTAACATAACGGGTGGGGTTCTATAAGGAGTAGTTCTGACTATGGCAGTCCAAACATTTCAAAAGCTTGACCAAAAAAGACAACACCCATCTATTGAAGATGAACAACCAGAAGATACTGCTTATTGTCCACGTGTTAGCTGTGTAATGGATTCAGTATGTGTCCAAGTCTTGGTCATGATGGCGACAAGTGCTGAAAAGTAAAAGGCTTGGAAGATTTTTTTGGCAAAAAATATTCAGTTATGTTTTTAAATAGTTTGAATTTGAATATACAAATATTTAACTTGAGCATCTTGACATTTTCACTAAATTCTCACAAGAATCCAATAGAAATTTGCAGCAACATTTACTTTGCATTTATGTTGGAGAATTCTCCTCACGTTGCCGTGCGTACTTTATCTGAAAGGTAAGAATGTCAAATCTTGTCATAAGAAATTGTTTTTCTCCAAGTGACAGTGGATATTTTCTAAGGCTTTGATGCAAGTGAGAAAGGCTACTTTAGTGTCCATTAAACCTTGATCACGTTTCTCAAAATAATGTCCTTTAATGACCTTGTAGTACCATATCACCCCATTAGAGCACTTCGCTCTCGCACTGCAGGCCTACTTGTTGTTCCTAGAGTATTTAAAAGTAGAATGGGAGGCAGAGCCTTCAGTTTTCAGGCCCCTCTTCTGTGGAACCAGCTTCCAGTTTGGATTCGGGAGACAGACACTATCTCTACTTTTAAGATTAGGCTTAAAACTTTCCTTTTTGCTAAAGCATATAGTTAGGGCTGGACCAGGTGACCCTGAATCCTCCCTTAGTTATGCTGCAATAGACGTAGGCTGCCGGGGGATTCCCATGATGCATTGAGTTTTTCCTTTCCAGTCACCTTTCTCACTCACTATGTGTTAACAGACCTCTCTGCATGAATCATATCTGTTATTAATCCTCTGTCTCTCTTCCACAGCATGTCTTTATCCTGTCTTCCTTCTCTCACCCCAACCGGTCGCAGCAGGTGGCCCCGCCCCTCCCTGAGCCTGGTTCTGCCGGAGGTTTCTTCCTGTTAAAAGGGAGTTTTTCCTTCCCACTGTCGCCAAAGTGCTTGCTCATAGGGGGTCATATGATGTTGGGTTTTTCTCTGTATGTATTATTGTAGGATCTACTGTACAATATAAAGCACCTTGAGGTGACTGCTGTTGTATTTGGTGCTATATAAATAAATTGAATTGAATTGAATATATCCCTTATGAGATAAGATATCTATTGATAAGAGGACAAAATTGTTTATGTTGTCCGTTTTTGAATTATCTTCAAGTTCCCTACAATAAATGTTATGAAGTAAAGAATACTAGGGATTCAAAACATTTTCTTCCATGATCCAAACTTAATTTCCTGATGGAGAAATCATGTCATTTAGAACTGCTGTCAAGGGGAAAGGCAAAGTCCTTCGAAGTAAACTAGACAGTTGACTAGTTATTCATTTCAGTGAGCCACTGGCTCGATGTTTCGGTTAGACTTTTGAATCATTTTACCACTTAGAGTAGACCAAGCAATTTGTCCCTTTCTAATCATGATGCCCTATCCGGTTGTTCAGTCTGACGTCACTAGCCGTGTCTGGGTCTAAACTCCGCTGCAGGTCCATATATCAAACGATCACTATGGCATTACTGAGAGTTGAAAAACTGTCTAAAGTCTTTCATCTTTAATAAAATGATCAGTGTTCTGCTCTACCAGGTGTAACAATTGAGTTTAACATCCAGGCATCCATGAAAACGTGAATTTATGACATTTAACGGAGTTAGAAGTTAGCAGGGAGTTAGCTCGCTAGCTTCTATCTAAATACAATATAGCATGTCCTGACTGCGGGGTTTTGGAAACAAATTAAAACGTACAGCTCTGCTATCACTTCCAGCATAAATGAAGACAGAAAACTAAACAGCAGTGACGTTTGTAGGGTTACTGAAGTTGGGCTAGCTGGTATATAATGATGTGCTACGTGACCGCTAGCGACACAGCTATGTTAGCATAATATAAACAAGCTAACTTTTTTTCCACTCGATAAAAGTTACGTGAGTGTTCTCGGTGGTCAGGAACAAATGTAATCGCATGGCAGGATGCTGTAAAAGGACCAAACTTCAGCCAGGAGAACAACTGAGATAATCCATCCACAATACGAGGTTAGTCATTCATATACTGCTGCATGGGCTGGGCTGTAGCTACATCCTAAGGTTTTAAAAACTGAGCTTAAATAAATGATTAGCGGTAATAAAAGCCGAGGGAGGTCAACAGGGATCACTGACTGTTTTAGGAGCTTTTTGAGATCAAATAGAAGAAAATACAAAACATTAAACATGTTAACAACACAAAAGCCATATTAAACGCAGACTACTTTAGACCCGGAAGTAGGATTCGTCGCGTCATCACTGAACAACCGGATTACACTACCTGGAATACTGTTGGCTGCAATAGACACACCCCACTGTGAAGCATATTTGGCCTAGAAAAGCCAGGGTAGGTGTATTTAGAGACATACTTTATGTGATATGCCATGCAAACTGCAGATACAACAAAGCAGGTTTGTTTAGACAGTCCCCCTCACCCAACCTGCTCGACTGTCACTCATAGATGCAAGGGTGACAGGAGTTTACTGGCAGCCATTTATAAATCCACTGCAATTTCAATAACGATTTGGGCTTTCAATTTTCAGTTGTGCCTACACCGTTTATCACTTTTACATCTTTGACTTCCAGGTAAATCGCAATCAATCAATTTAAACACCTTAAATGAGGTCACACGGCAGAAAAAGGTCCAAAAAGACATTCTTTCACTGGTATGTAAAGTCTATAAGTAGTTTCAGTGGCTGAGCAGAAACTGACTGGCAGCCTATTTAATCAACATCTGTGAAACTGTGACAAGCTGAACAGCATTCAGGAAAACAGGTGACAAGTTTTCTCACGGCATCAGTACACTAAGTAAACAGTTACCTCAGACATAAACTTCCTTGCAACACTGCCTGGCACCGTCCCCACTCCCTGCCTCCTCCCTTCCCAAAGTGCAGCTTTACCTACTTTGCTCTGTCCGTTCAACTTAGATGCTGTTTATGCTCGGTTTAAGAATCTTACAAATTCCATCAGTGGATACAGGATTAAGAATTAAGGTTTTTTCTTTTTTCAAAGCCGTTCCTCTTAATTAGCTAAACAAACACAGCCTTCTTTTTCACCTGCTGTCTCGAGTGCTGCGGTATGTGCATGAGCTAATGCTAATTATTCCCTAACGAACAGAACAAATAGGACTTCTGGTGCAAGCGGGCCGTTTTCTGTGAGAGAACTTTGTGTGCCTATACATAAAGTAACCACATAATCTCAACTACACTGGACACTCATTTATGAAATGCAAGTACCAGTAAACACTTTAAATTGGAAACGTTTTTTAGAATGGCCTCCATTAAGGACGAGTTTAAAAAAAAATAAAAAAAGCTAGATAAATGTGCTCGCATTTTATTGGAGCTGTGCGCGCGTGTGTTCTGAAGAAATCATAACTGTATCTAGTACAATTTTCATCTCTCCGTTTCAGCCACAGATTCCATCAGTCAAGTTTTGACATGAGCAGTGTTTCAGATGAGGAATGCATTGGGGCCTGCACAAATACAAAAGGGATGCACGCCATCAGGCCCACTATGCAGAGCTAATTAAAAGCAAGGGGATTTTTGCTTGAGTCACAGACTGACTGGGGTGGTGTACAAGTGGAGAGGAGGTATTCCTGATATCCTTTCCTTTAATTTGTCCGGGAATAATCTGTGACTGCCACTTACACCAAGGACCACAGAGGACAAATAATAGTCATTTTGTCTGTTAGCGTCAGATTCAACAAAGGTATCATTAAATTATGCTGATGTTTTGTGACAAGAACATGTAAAATGAAAATAAATGCCTTGGAGCGACCTGTTCAGCAGCACATCCCTAAGCGCTGAATACGTACGGCTACAAACAATGCATGTACAACTTGCACTGCTGTGAAGCAACTAACAACCTGCAGAAAAAGTTAACTGTTGCAACTTCTGCAGACACGAGTTACTCCACTATAACCGTCAGTCGAACTGAGCCAAGCTTGTGCTTACATTCCTAAATTGGATGAGATGCTATCAGGTGGATGAGGGGCTGATCCGAAGGAAGGAGATGTTTGAGATGTAAGCTACTACTATCTGACAAGCATGCATGCTTTCAAAGGATGCGGCAGTGCTCTGCTGAAGGACACCATTTCACTCGTATTTTACATATTGCAGGGCTTTCTGGTTGGGTGTAAAGCATAAACCAACAAATTCATATTTAAATTGCTTTTTTCATTTACCCGTGTGAGTTTTCTCTTTTCTTGTTCAAGCTGCATTTAGTAGGCTACCCAAAGGACATGCTTGAGTCAGACGTTCATCTATTCAAACACAGAGGAACAGGCGCTCCAGGGTAACAAGTCACTCAACCCTACTGACACCTCTGATCTGGGGAAAGTACCTGCATTTGTGCTTTCATTTGGTCTCATAGCATTTAACTTAAAATTAGCTGGATTAGAAATCTGCATAACATTGATTCTCACATAATGGGACTTCTCTCATATTCAGGCTAAGCCTCATCTCAGACATCTTTTATTGCGAAAATCAGAAAGAGTTTATTGAACAGAAGAAAGTTGCATTTAAATGATAACAAGCATAAGGAAACGGCTCAGACCTACCACTGATGACTTTCAGCACATGTAGGATTTAAGCTCACTGCTTCCTCGCCAACTTTCTTCCCTGAGAGGAAAGAGAAAAAGACAGATAAACGGATAACGATCCTCTGCTGAAACATAAATCTGACACACACTCTGCAACCTGGACATTCTTGTTCTACGGGACGAAAGAACAGAGACTGGATTAGTACAATCAAGGGGTGTGTTGACTAAGAAAGCACAACAGGACACACATAAATCAAGAAGCATCAATGGGCACTGGATTAAAGCAATAAAACAGAAGTTACATCAAATGCAATCCAGGAAGACAGCTCAGTTTTTAATCCTTCATCACTTAGTGGAATGCGTTTCATTTTGTCCGCTCTATTAATATCTAAAAGAATGTTAAACATGATTCTTTGCTACTTTAAAGTTTCAAGGCTTTGACACGTTCAAATGCTTTGAGACAGGTGCCTTAGCAGGAAGCACCTGGCTGGCTCTGCTTAGAGGTACAATGATGAGAAAGGATTACAGAGAAACAGGTCAGTCCAGTATGAAAACGAAAACAAACAAACAAAAAAAACTAAAAAACAAAACAGCCTCTGTTTGGAAAAATAAAACCCACTGTGGTCAAATGTAAACGATTAAGAATAAAGCAAATTAGGTCAAAGAACAAAGTGTTTGTTATCATTAAGTTAATATGAAAGTATCCTCTTTTTTGAGCGTTTTACCTATGTACACAGGACAAAGATGGCAACATAAAAGGACAATTTTCTGAAGTTAACTTCAGACACAAGTATTGTAAATGCTCCTAGGGTCACCTAATCTAGCTCATAGGAGACATTTTGTTGTTACATTTTTTTAATTTATAGATAAAAATATCCCCACTTAGTGGGGATAGGTTAATTGGTTAATCCAAATTGCCCATAGGTGTGAATGTGCGACTGAATGTGAGTGCGAATGGTTGTCTGTCTCTGTGTGTTGGCCCTGCGACAGACTGGCGACCTGTCCAGGGTGTACCCCGCCTCTCGCCCTATGACAGCTGGGATAGGCTCCAGCGCCCCCCGCGACCCTGAACAGGATAAGCGGACGCGAATGGATGGATGGATGGATGGATAGATAGATAAAAATACACAAATGTCAGTTTTCATCTGGAACAGTCCAATCGTCAATTGAAAAACTGTCTTTGTTTCATTTAAGTGTACAGTACCATTAGCTCCACTGAGCCTACACTCACCTGCCACCTCATGGGTTACACCTTGCTAGTATTGCTGCTTTGTGGCACAGATTCAACAAGATGCTAGAAACATTCCTCACAGGAATCCAGGAAATCCCACAGCCACTCTAATGGACTGAGCTCTGGTTACAGTGGAGGGTATTTTGAAGTCAGTGAACTCTGCCACATTAGAGAAACCACTAACATCACTGAGATGACACGTTATCCTGCTGAAAGCAGCCATCAGAAGATGCACTTTGGTCATGACGGGATGGACACGGCCAACAACAATACTCAGATAGGTTGTTGCATCACACCACCGCCAACTGCCTGAACCTTTGATACAAGGCAGGATGGATCCAAGATTTTAATGCTGCTGACACCAAATTCTGACACAGCCAATCATTTTGTCAATCTTCTACTGTGTAGTTCTGGTAAGCCTCTGTGAACTGTAGCCTGACCATTCTCTGTTTTCAGACCTAAAGATGGCTGTGTGGAACAATCCCAGTAGATCAGCAGTTTCTGAAATACTCCGACCAGCCTGTGCTACAACGACTACACCACATTCAAAATCACCTTCAGTACTCATTCTGATGCTGAGTTTAAACTTCAGCAGGTTGTCTTGATCATGTCTACATTACTAAATGCACTAAGTTACTGATTACCTGATTAGATATCCAGGTTAATGGGCATCTGTACAGATGTACCTAAAAGCAGCCATTGAGTTTGTTAGAATTAGAACCTAGACTTGTTGAAATTAAAAAGATGAGGTACTAGACACCAATGTTTGGGGGTTTACCTTGAACAGAAATTAGAGTAAATGACTAGAATATAACACTATACAAGGATCTTTGCACTGGTCATGGCAGAAGTTGTGACTCAGTGCTGTTTAAAGAACTGAATTTTTCTAGAAGTGTTGTGTCTTAAGCAATATGCTATTATACTGAAGATACATGAACGTGTTGCATCCAAGCTAGTATGACAAATAAATACCAATCCAGGGCTATGTTTGGTCCAAGCTTGCCAAGCACTCCTGCCAATTCCCTGACATTGCTTAAAACCACATTTGGATTTGGGTATTCCAGATGAGACACTGACTTTTGAGGGTTGGCCAGTGTAACAGTCGGATTTATTATAAGATAACATCTCATATCCAGCGTAGAATGCTAGTCAAACGAGGCATGAAACAAGTTTTAGTAAATTACCAGTCTCTGCGTAGGTCTTCTTCTCCTCCAGAGTCAAGCTGATGTCATGGACGTCACAGTAAGCTCGGGTTAGCCGCCAAAGAAATGTCGAATTTTGTCCAAACTAGAGAAGTACATGAAAGTACACAACTCCATCACACTGTTTTGTATTTATTATGGAGACAAACACGAATTAATGAAATGTATATGCACCTCTTCTCTTTGTTCCAAAAGGATATTAAGACTTTCCCGTTTGTCAGACTCACAGCCCTGATGCAAACGGTCAATCTGCTCAATGAGGAGAGACAACTTGTCCACAGGATGCTCTTGATCCCTCTCTTCTGCATCACTTAGCTCATCCTCCTCTGAGTCTGTCAGCGCGGTCATGTACCTGTAAGTACAAACAAATGGCAAAAGAATGAGGTGCAGCTTCATTTTGCTGTCAGCATGTGCAATTAAACGTTACTGATGTGGATTAGAAAGCTGTGCTGAACGCGTACATGCAGACCACACCGTCTCCATCCTGCTATCAGCAAAGTGCATACGCTAAACTCAAGAAGAATTAATAAACCGCCCTACATGTGAGGTGAACTCACCCCAGCTGAGGAGCTTTTCAGCTCAATCAAAATCCTGTCATCATGAGAATTTTTACAAGCCACTCTGTGCCACATGCTGATTATAAAGAAGCCCTATTCACTGCCTGTTTATGCACACAAAAAAAAGGCACCAGGTTTGTTTATATAAGTTGGTCTGTTAATTGTTTAAAAATACTAGCTCTTAAGGAATTCCTAAAGTCTAACTTTAGTTACCTGAAGGCTTTTTCACAAACACAAGGAGACTTGTTTAGCACTGTGAGGCACGCAATGCCTGTGTTAGAAGTTTTATGGTGCCCTTTCAATGGCTGCACACGCACACTGACTCCCTAAGCTAACACTTAAATAGCAATGGCAGAAAAAAAATACCCATATTAAAAAGGCAGGTGAAAATGAAAGACAGACAAAGGTAAAAAAATATGAAAGGCTTCTATTAAGTGTTGGCAGTGGCTGCATATGCGTCATTGGTGGTTAAGAGAATGTTTTGGGCTGTGAGCCATGGTTCTGAAGGGATGTGTCGGAGCGAGCCTCAGACATAAACCCTGTGGACCCAACAGGTGCCTTGTGCTGCAGGGCTGCTTGCCAGTTCCACCCCATAACACACACGCGCACACACACACACACACACACACACACACACACACAGCCCTGGGTGCAGTGACTACAGGAGTAATATGAGGGCATTTGAACTGCAGAGATTTTCCTTAGCCAAGAAAGCAACTGTTGACGATGAAGTGCCACTACAGTAAAAGTCAAGTGCACAAATCGACTTATACACTGAAATTATGGGAGTTTTTCCCACTTTTCAATCAATTTTACTTCAATGAAAATGCTTTTTAACCCCTATCAATATTTTTATACAAACAGTTAAGTGCATGATAGTTTACACTGTAGGAAAGGTGACCAGCTACCGAGAAATATTATATTCCCAGGGATCCCAGAGGCTATGTTGTTGGGGGGCTTTTTCCCCGTGGTAGGCTCTCCCATGGCAAATTGCTCCTGGGTGAGGGACCAGACAAAGAGTGATTCAAAAACCCCAATGAGTGAAAGATCTAGAGAATATCTCACCCTAGCCCGGAATAGGGTTACTGGGGCCCTGCCCTCGGGACAGGTGGGGAAGGTGCCCAAGGGCGAGTGCCTGGGGATGGGCCTTAGTCTAAGACACACCAGGCAGGCACATCCCAAATGAGGGACATGGGCCCACCCTGCAGTAGGCCCGCCACCCGCAGGAGGTGCTGTAGGAGTCTGGTGCAGTGTGTGCTGGGCGGGGGCCAGGGGTGCAAACCCTGGTGGACTGATCCCCAGCTCGAACCCGAGCAGGGTTCTGTTTCTGGACTTCTGTGCAAACCAAAGTTTGTCCACAACGAACACGATTTTGAAATAAGGACACCCAAGGCCACAGGTCGATGACAGATTTTGTAATCGTATCATCAGATCTAAGGCCGTATGTTCTGGACACTTGGGTGAAGACAGGTGCCTAAATGTATAGTGAGGGTTACCTTCAACTCTTACCACCATTGACAGCATTCCGAGGGAGAATGGGGACATTGAGTCCGAATAGACCATGTTTAATACCTTAATTGCTGAAGTTTCTCCACTGAGCTGCAGCCACAAGGTGGTTGGTGTCTGTCTTGGTGGTAACCTTTGAACCAGATGGTGGGCACTGAGCCAGTTAAACAACTCCTTGGAGGCATCCACTCCAGGGGATGAAGTTTACCCAGAGTTCTTGAAAGCTCTGGATGTTGTAGGGCTATCTTGGTTGGCAGGAATGAGAATCAGCATCTTCAAGTCGGAGGCCATGGTCCTCAGCTGGAAAAGGGTGGAGTGCCTACTCCAGGTCAGGGACAAGTTACTGCCCCAAGTGAAGGAGTTTTTCCAATTCAATTTTCTTTATATAGCGCCAAATCACAACAACAGTCGCCTCAAGGCGCTTTATATTGTAAGGTTTACCCTACAATAATACATACAGTAGAGTTTAAGTATCTTGGGGTCCCACCAAGAGGAAGCCACAGGGCAGACCCAGTACATGTTGGAGAAATTATATCTCCCAGCAGGCCTCTGGGAACACCTAGGTGTTATCCTGGACAAGCTGGAGGAAGTGGCCGTAGAGAGGGAGGTCTGGGCCCAGATAAGAGAAAGAAAGTGGATGGATGGACTATCGCTTTTACCACTGTTATAAATTTGAGAATTGGACTGCATAAAGATTAATCATATGCCATAATGTGTGGAATCTATGAGCAGGGTTTCTTTCCCGCGAGATGTCTTTAGGAGCGATCAAGGCTCAAGAGTTGGCAGTTCGTCTTGTAATCAGAAGGTTGCCGGTTCGAGCCCCGGCTCCGACAGCCTTGGTCGTTGGGTCCTTGGGCAAGACACTTCACCCATTGCCTACTGGTGGTGGTCAGAGGGCCCGATGGCGCCAGTATCCAGCCTCTGCCAGTGCGCCCCAGGGCAGCTGTGGCTACAATGCAGCTTGCCATCACCAGTGTGTGAATGTGTGTGTGAATGGGTGGATGACTGAATGTAGTGTAAAGCGCTTTGGGGTCCATAGGGACTAAGTAAAGTGCTATACAGGCCATTTACCATTTAACTTCAGATGCCCCCTCTGCCTTACTTTTTATCATTTGTGAGCGAAATGCATGCACTTGTAACGTGAGTTTTTGCAACAGTGAAAGACCTCTACATCAGAACAGTCTACGGGTGGAGGAGAAAATGAAAAAACACAACTATACAGCAATATCTGTACAGGGATACTAAATGTTGATATTTTATTAAATACATTTAAATAACAGTCATTCAGTCAAATAGTCACAGCCTGACTTGAACTGACTGAAATAAATCTCAGAGAGATTGTTGAAGGTTTACAAATAATTGCTATATAATTTATAAATGCAGACAGATTGCCAACATGTTGTCAGTCTAAATGAACACAACCTGAAGGGCGTCAACTCAGCTGGCTGCCAGCTGGATGCATCTGGATATAGTCCTATAAAAGAGGAAGGTTTAGTTTATTGCTAACTGTGCTGATATTTATTCCTGAGAAAAAAAGCATGTCTTATTTTTTGAAATAAGACATGATATTGAAATAAACTGATTGTTTTTAGAACGGAGCATATTTTTCCCCCATTTAGTGGATCTGGCTTTTCATGTGTTGCACATAACAAATATCCAAATATCTAAATAAATACATAATAATAAAAATAAAATCAGATATATGTATTAAAACTTGGGTCATTAGAAACATTAGTTAGCACAGTTTAAAACAAGGTTGCAAGAGTGTTTTCAGCAAGGGTAAATCTTATTGCTCCAAAGTCCAAATTTTTAACTACAGGATTGATTTTTATTTTTTTAGCATTAGTCAGGAGTTTAAATAACTGATTCATTGGCTTGTCACATTCAGCAGCTTAGCAGGAAACAGAGAATCTCTGTAACTGCAAAAGAAACCAGACTTTGCCTCATACATATTTTAATCTCCGTTTGTTTTTATACCATCATTTTGAGATTGTAGCAAGGCTTTGGCAGACTTGCTACAATCTCCCTCTGCACACTAAACCCCAAAGTAAACCCTAATACCTGCAGGCGAAGCTCAAATCATTTATTGGCCAATACATTTCAGCTTAAAAAAATTTGAATGTGGGTGCTTTTGTGTTCTTACTTTTTTTTT